CAATCCAAATTTTTTTTTATTTTTTTTATTATAGTTTTAATTACTGTTTTGTTTCAACAATATTATTTCCTTATATGTATATCAAAAAATTATATATATACAGAAGCAAACTAAAAAAAATACCCCATGCAAAATAAGTGGTCACATCGTTGTTTTCTTTCCCTTAACCTCTTTTCCTTGTTTATTATTACAATTATTATTTTTTCTAATTTATTCTTTTTAATATAACCCAGTAGTGCAAAGAGCAGCTTTTATATATATATATATATATAAAATATTTGGGTTTGAACTTTGAAGCTGCTTGTATATAATTAATTAATTAAAGGGTTTTGGAAATATTATTATTATTATTATTTTATATAATTGAAAAGGAAGGCACGCTAGAAATATGGCATGAGTACACTCTTTTGAATTCAATAATTTTCCATATTAATTTTGTTGGTTCTCTAATTGAATACCTTGGATTTGAAATTCGGCACATGAGAATACAAATCAAAAAAAATATTTAGGACTAGAGAGAGAGAGAGAGAGAGAGAGAGGAGTTGCAGCAGAATGAGGAGGAGAGTTAACATACAAAATGTCCGATTTCCGCGATTTTTTCGATAAGAATCTGGTCACATCTTCGGCGAGCCGAGTCGAGCCATATAAGAGGGTTATATACACATATGGGTGAGGAGCAAAATGGGAATCAAAAAGATAAAATAAGGTTTTCATATTTAGTTTTTGTCAAAAAGTGATCAGATGGGCTTATTTGTATCTTTTTTGAATTTTATAGACTAATATGCACATTTTCAAAAAGTAGAGAGGAGTTCTACACAAACTCCATATATCAAGGGAATTTTTTGCACTTAACCCGTTTAACTAATTATGTATTAATTCAATTTGAATAGATTCATAAAAATCATAACCAAATAATAATGTCGCCCATTTAGTGAACACTTATCACTTATTTTATACATGTCATCGTTGTATTAGTGATTTTCTCTTAAATTACAGACCATATATATAATAGTGTTCAATTGGTTCTGAGAGTAAGAAATTATATACTCACTTTTAATTATAGTCTTAGGATCTAATCTTACAACAATTAGTTAATTAATTTTTTTTTCTTTATTTTAAGAAATTTACATTTTATTTTCACACCATTAAATATCGTTAAAGAAAAATGACAAAATTTGACTATTTTTTGCCTGAGTTTCTCTGTCCAAACCGATTGTTTATTAAACAAATTTGCAAATAGCGATCGAAACCAAATAAAATCAAAATCAAAATAGATATATAAAATGACCATTAAATAAAGATTGCTTGAGAAGTATTGATTATAATCAAAATTCAAATTTCAATATTAATTCATGTTTTATACTCAACTTAATAAAATATTTTGAATTTGTTTGACAACTAATTTAGAATTAGGAGACTACTTTTGACTTCATAAATTTTTTAGAAAGATCCTGCAAAATAAGTCTTATATATTATTATGTATCCATCTAAATGTTCTTAGTGTTTTTTTATTTTTTATTTTTTTGGATAAATTAAATGTTCAAAATGTTGATCCAGTAAAGGCATACCAAAATATGTATAATATCATTGCAAATACTAAGGAACAATAATTCAATAACCTTTAAAAAGAAAAAAAGTATTTCAATAAGGAGAAAAGTAATTAAAAGTCTCTCTTTTCCAATAAGGAGAAGAGCAATTAAAGTCACTCTTTTTTCTCTTAAATTGCAGACCACTTGAAACGAATATATATATATATATATATATATATATATATATATAGGTAAAGACAACTTCCTTAGAAATTTAGAATGCCTAAAAAAAAACCAAAAATATAAGACAACTTCCTTAGAATGCCTCAATTGCCTTGCTAGTATTACTTTAGTCGAAGTAACTAGGGAGCACCTTCTATGATCGAAAGGCTAGTCCATGAATATTATAGAATTTAATGGTGCACATAAATATGCTTTGGATACAACTTGATAGTTTTTTTTTTTTTATTTTTTTTTGCCAATTTTCTGTAGCACCACCCAACTATTTAAAACAAATATTCTAAAATGAAATATTGGATTTCTTAGGAGGATAAAAGTTAACCTTTCCTATTTAACCAACCATCACAAATCAAGTGTTGTTATGTTATTCCTAATTAATTTGATTGAATGGTCATATTTATTAGGTCAAGGAACCAACCATCACAAATCAAGTGTTGTTATGTTATTCCTAATTAATTTGATTGAATGATCATATTTATTAGGTCAAGGAACCAACCATGTTCCTTTTTAAGCTTACAGAGGAATTCAGAGCACCTATGGACTTGGAGCTCTAGAAGTATGAAAAGATGTCCAATGATTTTAATTTGTAAGAAAAATTCACAGTTTTAATTCAATTTCTTTCTAAATTTTTTACAATTTGGGTAATATATATATATTTTTGTTTGTTATGATATATATCATAAAAAAAGAATACCAAAGGGGTCATATTAGTCTATTTACAAAAAGCATATATAGGAACTAACCTCTTCATTGATGAGAGCATCATGAAAACCTTACTTGTGAAGAAAACTTTAAAAAGGTGAAAAAGTGAAACAAATATCCCTTCTATCGTCACAGCACATCCTTCTTTTTATTTTTCTTTTTTTTCTTTTTTCTGTCATGCAAGTGAACCTGGTAATGGATGATTACCGTTTGGATCTAATTATGACTACCGTTTGGATCAAAACCAAGCCAATTGCAACTGAGCAATTTGATTAACTCTGTTAATTAATGTATTAAGTCAATTTAAATAGATTTATAAGAATGATAACCAAATAATAGTGTCGTCCATTTACAAAACACTTATTGCTTATTCTACACGTGTCATCATTGTATTAGTAATTTAGGCTATGTTTGTTTCGACGTAAAATATTATTTTTGAAAAATATTTTTCTAATCTACTTCAAAATTCAAAATTGAGGTCGTGTCCATCAGATTTTTTTTGTTCGTAGATATTTTATTATAACTAAACACCAGAAAATAAGTCCAAACAAATGGAACTTTAGTACTTCAAGAGTGACAATAATAAAAAGAAGGAACAATAATTCAATAAACTTTTAAAAAGAAGAAGTATTTCAAAAAAGAAAAAAAGCAGTTACATGTCTCTCTCTCATGGAGAAAAGCAATTAAAGTCTTTCTATTGCACACCACTCGAAACGAAAAACCAAAAAAACAGAAGCAATTAATGAAAAGAAGGAACAATAATTCAATAAACTTTTGAAAAGGAAAAGCATTAAAGCAATTAAAAGTCTCCCTCTTTCAAAAAGGGTAAAATCTATTAAAGCCTCTCTTTTTCCTCTCAAATTGCAGACCACTCGAAACGGGAAGAAAAAAACAAAAAAGGTAAAGTGACAGCACATGGTCGCCTTATCCACAATACTTTAGATTATTGTACGACTCCAATTGCGCGCAGCTGAGGTTCAGCTTACTAATGGTCTGTTCAGAGTTGGCTTTCCAGAGAAATTACTACTCAATTCTATTCGAATCAGAGAAACAGAGATGGAGAGACAGATTGAACATTTAAGCCATTGGCATTACTTGTTCCTAGACCAACAGAAACGTAAAGAAGAGGATCAAGTGACTTGCAATGGGTGCACAAACAAAATCTCGGGTGATTTCTATGGTTGCACAAAATGGAAACATTACGTTTGCAAATCATGTGTTGGATTGGCGCCAGATATACAACACCCCTTTCACACCAAACATCCCCTCACTCTTTTCGCTCAATCACCTTATAAACACGAAGAATCTAGGGATCCTGATGGTCTATCTCCTCGTGATCAACCAGCTTACTGCTATGCCTGCTGCAAGACATTAATTGCGCTACGCTGATGCCCACCACCACCACCAACAACTACAAGGCAAGTGAGCAACAAACGACGCATCCATGCTTGCTTGGGTTGTTTGGCAGGAAACCTCATCCCCTGATTCCTTGCTATAGGAAGAACAAGCAGCTTGATTTTTTGTGCTCATTGTGCGACCAAGTCATCAAGGGCACCATCCATGCTTGTTTACATTGCCATGCTATGATGGATGAATCATGTATACAACTCCCAAAGCAGATCACACATCACTTTCTCCCTCATCGTACTCTCACTCTCATACCTTCTTTTGATTTTAATTGTCATGTCTGTGGGGTTTCTAAGGAAGGCTTATACTTCTGCTACAGCTACCACAATTTTGAGTTTCGGTCAGAATTTTGTTTGGACGTAAGGTGCGCTTCTCTAATGCCCAAAGCCATAATAGAAAACCGCCGGGTTGTTCAGGCACCATTCAACCACCGGCATGATTTGATTCCATGTGATAATACCAAAGGGATTTTTAGTTTTTCATGTTCCGCCTGTAGGCTCTGCATCGAGGGTACAATCTACGTTTTTCTTCAATGCAAGTTTTTTCTGCACAAATCGTGTGCTGAATTGCCATGGCAGATTAAACACCCCTTTCATCCACCACATCCTCTTGTGCTCGATTACAAAAATTCCTCCGTCAATTACCAATGCAAGGCATGTAAATGTTCTGTTTTGGGCTCCAAGTACTTGTGTCGCGAGTGTGACTTTGAGATGGATGTCACATGTGCTTCGCTAACCTACTCCACTCTCAAATTTGAAATTCACAAGCACCCTCTTGCTATCTTCATTGACCCTGCATTTACAAAAAGAAAAACAGATAGCTTAGTTAAGTGCAACAGTTGTGAAAATTTTAAGGGTCTCCCGTTCTTCCGTTGTGTGCCATGCGATTTCAGTATTAAGTTATGCTGTTTTTCAATGTTACCGCTTACTTTTAAATACAACAATCATCGACATTCTCTCACTCTCACATATTCTTTCATCAAAGACCATTCAGACGATGATTTTGACTCTGAATATTACTGTGACGTTTGTGAGGAAATGAGAAAGCTACGAGAGCCAACTTATTATTGCGAGGATTGCCACTATGTTGCTCATACTGGTTGCGTGTTCCATGAGGTATGTCTCAATTCTCAATTATTTAATCATACCTAAATAGCTTACTATTTGATTTTATTTGATTTTTTGTACTCTAATTTTATTTTCTTAATCATACCCAAAGTTGTGTTTGGAGCAATGGAATTTGAATGATTTTAAAATGGAATTTATCTTATTAATAAATATTATTTTAAAATAAATAAAAATAAATTGGATTATATTGTATTTGAAAATTATTAATAATTACAGTAGTTGATTATGCATTGATGGTATCTTTTTTATATAGTTTTTAATAGAACATACATATTTATAATTGATTCTACTGGATGTTGCGGATCTGCTATTGTATCATTTTGTCTCTTTCTGACTTTTGCACATGAACTGCTTTTTCTTCATTCTCCAGCGTTTTTTTCACCTATGCTACCTATAAACTTTCACCCCACACCTTCACTGTTTACACTATTTTCTTACGCTACCTACACGTGACACACACACATATATATATTAGTTTTATTATATATATATATATATATATATTTATTTATTTATTTATTTATTTTAGTTAATAATATTAGTTATATATTTGCTACACACAGAAACACCCTTTTTTTTTTTTTTTTCACAATTATTTGCATTAGCTCCACATGTTACGTACATGTAAATATATATTGTATTATATATTTTTAACCTTTTTGTCCTACACCACTTTGCTCCTCTTTTAGTTTCTAAATTCGCATAAATGAGCTTTCATTTAATTTACTTTTCTTTTCCAAAATCCCAATCCTAAAAAGACTTGGCTCTACCGTTTTTTCTTTTTCATTTTTTTTTTCCAGTAATTTTTACATTGTTGAACAGTTCTACAATTTGTTTTCTTTTTTCCTTTTTTTTTTTACAAATACATTGAAATCATGAGCGGAGTCAAAAATTAAATTCAGGAGGCACAATGTAAAAAAAAAAAAAAAAAAAATTCAATAAACACGACAATAAATATATTCTTTAAATCAACAGATAAAAAAGAAAAATTAATCAAAATAATATGTCCATCAATGAGTAGTTTAAGAAAGATAAATAGTTAAAAAAAATTAAAAAAGAAAGAAAAATGAGAGAATTTTGAAAGGAAAAAAATTGGAGTTTGATTCAAAAAGAAAAATTTGACTTTTTTTTTATAGGAAATTAAACGAATTTAAAAAGTAAAAAGAAAAAAGAATACAAAATTTAAGAGATTATTTTAAAAACTAAAAATTTTAGGGAGGGCATTATATTAATTTTTCATATATACATGTAAAAATATAGAAATTTAATATAAGCGGGCCAGGGCAAGGGGCACGTGTCCTTGCGCATACACTGGCTCAACCCGTGATTGAAACTATAAATTTACATTAGCATTGTAATATGCTAAATATGTAAAATGATGTTCAAAACCTACTCAACTTATATACTACTAAATATTTAACAAAATTTGCAGATGCCCAGTAGTTAGTGCCTCCGGTGAATTTTTGCACCTACTAATCTAACTTCTAACCCTTATTGCCTTGTAAATATATATATATATATATATATATATATATATATATATATTTCGAACAAAATTTAGATATGAAATCTTCGTAACAAAATTTTCTATGTTGAGTAAAACCTCTCCAAGTGATGATTCTGATTATATACACTCCAAAAAAGCTGGTTGTAAATGAAAAATCATTAATTAGTAGCTCATTATATAAATTTATTTAATTACATTCATACACCAAATGATGGTTTTCATGTGTCTGATGGATGCAAATTTTTTATTTATTTTTGGTTACATTAACAATGGACTAGAGCCAGACTCTTTACGTTTTGGTTGCTTGTCAGATTCTCCCTTTACTAGGGAGGGAGTGGTCCTAGACACCCAATGAAGAGATTGTAATGCTTCAAGCAAAAGTGAATGCACTCAACATGAAAATAAAGTCATTAGCAAAATATTGGAGCCTGGGAAGTTGGGATTGGGAATGCGAACTGAATTGGGAATTGGCACTGGATTGGAAATTGGGATGGGATTTCGGAGTGGGAAGTGGTATGTTGTTCTATACTCAGGTTATATATTTATTATTGGACATGTGTTGTGATTAATATATAATATGATTGATGCAGGAGCAGAAAAAGCAAGGGAAGCAAGGGCCCAACGAAATAGAGAGATTGAAAATTTTCGACCACAGATATCTTCACTGCTAAAGAGATTAAAGATACAAATAATAAAATTGGATGAACTTGAGGAGATACATCCGCACAACATTGATGGCTATCAAATGGGTAAGTCATTTTATATTTACTTGTAGAAAAAAGTTATTGTGTTTGGGTAAGTCATTTTATACTACTTGGTAACGTGGGAAGTGCAAAAAAACACTCCTAAAGTATACTTTTTGTAATATTTTTATTTCTTATTTAAAAAAGTGTGCAATAAACACTCCTAATATTTTGAAATTGTGCAAAATTACCTATGTACAATAAACACTCCTAAATTATTGCTGTAATACCCATTTTGCCCTTTTAGTCTTCCCAAAATACCCCTCATTCTCTCTTTGCTCTCTACTCTCTGCTGCCAGTTCCTGACCCAGACCCACCTCTTTCTCTCTACTCTCTACCGCGAGTTTTCCATCACAGCTTGTTGCTCGCCGGCTGCTGATTCAGTCCAGCCCTCCACCGGCCGAGCTCTCCTTGCCGTTCTCCATCTCTTGCTCGCCGCTGCCTCCATCACTGCCATCACCTTCCTAGCCGTGCACATCCATCATTGCCATCAATAATAATAATTATAATTACTATAGTTTCTGGTTTTAATGCAGTATTGCATAAATTGGATACAATATATCTGACCTGCATAATGCTACCTATCTACCTTTATCTTTACTTTTGACGGAACTTCTCTTACACCTTTCTTAGTAAAGAAATACGGGCTCTGTGAAAGGTCTCTCTCTCTATAAAACAATCATGCTTTATAAAATCCAACTTTTCTGCCTTATACCTCTGTTTTATCCTTTTGGATTTCTTTCATGACATGGATTATACCAAGACTCGTCTTTTAATATCAATATATCATTGTTGACTATCATATCCACTAACATCTCATTGTTGACTGTGCCAATCTTGCAGAGCTTTTAGCCCTTGTACGGCAACAAAGGGCAGAGGCTGCGAAAAAGCGAGAAGAAGAGAAAGCAGGTAATATTCTGAGAAAGTTGTACTGATTGCTTTGCCTTTTATCATCCCAGTACTTGCGATGATGAAACTGATATATTTCATTTTTATCAGCCAAAGAACAGAAGAAGGTAGAAGCTCGCAAATGATGATGACAGGTGCCGTAAGTAATTCTATGGAACAAATACTTCCTATGAGAAGTATGTGTGCAGAATTATTATTATTCCCATGTTGGTACGATGAAAACTAATTTTCCCTATTTTCATATTATTGTGTCTTATATAAGAAATGGAATTTGAATACTCTTAATCACAAGTTTTTAGCCTCTATATAGTATTACAATGTGGTGGTACTAGATTTTTTGCTGAGCCAGATAATTTTGTACAAGGAAAATGATTTTTGAGCATACCAGACTGGCCGAAGAGACCAACCGAGGCTTAAATATCATTGGATATATTTGTATTGGGCGGGATGCAAAGGGTTTTTGGCAATCTGCCTCTCCATGGATAAACTATTAGTGTACTAGATTTTTTGCTGCCATCACGCCGCGAGCCGCCGTCTTCATCACGGCTGAGTTCAGTCTAGCCGATTCCACAGCCCCTTGCTCATAACCGCTGTGAGATCTCGTTGGCCGCCCGCCCATCCCCGGATCCATAGTCGCCGGTGGGTTCTTCTCCATCCATTGAGCTTCTTCTTCACGGCCAGATTCACAATGGCGGCAAAAATCACAACCTCTTCGGCAGTGATAGAAGCGGACTAGATGGCTGAAACGGCGACTTAGGACGGAGTGCGGTAGTGAGCTTCGGATCCATGGACCGGCGGAGATGGACGGCTGGTGAGATGGGTTTGGTTCGGTGGTGGCTTCAGCTGTGATGCTGGGCTGATGGCTGTGCAATGACGGCGGAGCCCGTCTTCTCCTTGCTCGCCGGTGCCGACTGTCGCGTGAGAGGCTGGGGTTGTTTATTGTCCTTTTTGGTCTTTTTACAAGATTTTGTATTTTTATATATTTTATAAAATTATTGACTAAGGGTACTTTAGTCAAATTTGATTTTAAATTTGCAAGAGGGACTTGATTGCACCAAATTGAAACTTGAGGGGTGTTTTTTGCACTGGATGGGTGTGATATGCACTATAAGCATACTTGAGGGGTGTTTTTTGCACTTCACCCTACTTGTAATAGAAAAAAGTTATCATGTTTGTTGTTGGGCATGTGGAGTGTGAGTAATAATCTAACACGATTGTTTAGCAAAATTTGATGTTGTATGTGTTTCCATGTGTTACGACCTTATACTTCAATATATAATTTCAAAAAATTAAAGAATTATAATAAAAAAACATAATTGATTGTGCATTTAATTTTTACTTATGGCAACCTCCCTCTCTTATAACTCATGATTTACTCATCACCTCTTTGAATCTTTCATGCGGTAGAGAAATTTTTGTCAAGATTCGGTAATGAATGCATTATGTTTAATTTTATTTAATATATGAGGTTTTTTTTTTTTTTTTAATTTTTTTTTTGTTTAAAATGTGAGCTTGTGTATTGAAGAGGAAAGAATGAACATGGTGGCCTATAAGGGAAAAAACACAGCCCATGGCCATGGGCAAACAAAAGTTACATCAGGAGTTGTAATGCCCAGTGACAAGAGTTATACATTCATCAATAAATACATATGCTATATGAGTTAAAATGATAATAATAATAAAATAAAATAAAAAACATTGCTCTTCTTTCAAGTGGTATTCTTATTGATTTATAAATTATAAATTTGTGACTCTCTCGTCCAAACGCACTTGACTTCAGTCTTACTCCTTAATCCTTGTAGAATGATTGATGGTAGATCAACAAGCACTACACAAACGCATTGATCCCTTTAAAGTGTGATCTCTCTCCCTCATATTTTTCAATTCTGAAATTTTGAAGTAGAAAGACAATTATTGCGTGCTTTGGTGACAGGTAACAAAAGATCTTCAATACAAATGAACTCCGATCACCAAGAGTAATACATCGTAAATCACTTATGTTTGTACGTAGTATGTGTATTCTTAAACAGAAAAATAAACAATCTTTACAAAATCTCTCAAAGGCTCTTTTAGGGTTTGAAAACTTAATTGTAGAAAGCTGTCCTGATTTTGAGATCATAAGATATATTTATAGGCATTTAGAAAGACCTAGAGATCATTAGAAAAGTTAGTAATTTTGTGCAAAAGCTTCTCTTTAAAACCTAATAAAAAAAGTAATTGAATTGGACTCGAAAAGAACTTTTCTTTATGGTTCGAGCAAACACAACCGGTTCTGTTTCAAAATGCAATCGATTGTGTTTTTTACTGAGAGCTATTTTTTCCCCTGTGAAAAACACAGCCTGTTGTGTTCAAAGCATAACTAGTTTCATTTTTTTGAGAGTAAAAATAAACTTGTTTTTAACCAAAAACTCTTAGCTCTCATTATAAAAACATAACCTAAGTGTATCCTCACTTCACTAGTCTAAGTGTCATGTTGATGATCATGAACTGAGTTAGCACTTGTTCCGATTTCGACCTCGAGACTCAAAAGTAAAACAATGACTACAACTCGATTGGACTCGTTTTGGTACCGAAATATATGCCAATTACAATTTTTACACTTCACGATAAGAGAACAATGTTTATCCAATGAAGAAAATGTAAGAAGAGAACAAGACTAAAAAAAAATTCAATCCTATTTCTAACATTATATTTAGTATGTTATGCTAAATTATGTATTGGCTCCCTTGATGTTTCCTAGGAAGTATATCTTCATTGGGCACAAAGTCATCTGTGATTATTCTTAACGCCTCTGACGAGGTGGTTGAAGAAGATTGCAATGTTGAAAGAACGGAAAGTGATGAAGATGAAGATGCGGTCACAATACTGTCATATGCAAATAGTCCTGCCAACTCATCAGATGAGCTGAGTGAAGAAAACTGTAGTGTGAAAAGTACAAAAAAGGATGAAGACGGCTATGAGGAGAGTGATGGTACATTCTCCACCATTGCCGAGCTAGATAAAAAGATAGAGGAAATAACAACAATGTTAAAGACACTACCATCAGAGTTAAAGGCACTCAAGAAGAAGCGTGCACAATTGTGTTTCATGTCTTGAGCTCAAATGACGAGATATTGAATGAGGTTTCAAAATGGAGTCAATCATGTTGGAGTCTCCGTTGTGATGTAGATATGGAGCATGTTGGTAGGTACGTTAACCGAAAAACACAAATTCTCATAGCCGATCTATTCATATAGGATTAAGACAAAGCTGATGACCATGGTAGATATGCTAACAAATTGGATAGTTAATTTATTTGCATCTTGTGTACTTTATTAGATGAGCATGTTGGTTAGCATATAACCATATTTGAAGCAAGGCCTTTTGGACCTATATATAGCACCATCTTGAATTATGAAAAGATATACCTTATTATGTATCTTTTCCTATATGTTTTTCGTTTATGCTATTGATACCAGCATGATGTTTCTTTCAAAGGCTTTAAGCTAAAACATTGTTCGGATAATTAGAAGTGTAATTGTGTGTTTCTTATTTTTGTGTTTTCAGTCAAGGACTTCTGCTTTACAACAGAAACAAAACTTCTCTTACAGCACAAGCTTTGTTACAGGAAGAAAATTGTACCAGATTTTTATGCTTAAACATTTTAGTTGCTCACATTATGTTATCCCAACTCCTGGTCTACAACCACTGTATTGGGTTCAACACTAGCCCTAACTATAGTTATTTAACTCCTAGTCTACAACCACTGTTTTTGCTGCATTATGAATTTTTGTCATACTGCTTTACTCTTTCAGCTTGAATTTCACCATTAATTTAATTATGGGTCATTTCCTTAATATTCTAAAAATCATCTGTACTCTCTTTGACTTTTATTTATTTATTTATTTATTTATTACTTTATTTATTTATTTTATGTATTTTTAGTTTTTGAGAAAGTAATTTTCAACTGCTAATATATAAAGGACAAAACTGTACATAAAGTATGGGGCATCCCCAATGGACCTACAGGAAAAATGGCCATAAGCCCAATCGGCAAAATAAGAAGCCCAACCCTTGTGTCAAAAACTAGAGCAAGGGCAGCAAAGCTTGGGCAAGCTAAAAGGTAGGGGTGACAATTCGTGTTCGCGAGTCGTAATCATGTCGTGTCAATTATACTAAACAGCTTAATCCGAACATGACCTGTTTAATAATCGTGTCAGGAACTCTCAACACTAACCCGACCTATTTATCAATAAAATAGTAAATATACTAAAAAAAATATAAGTTTTAATCAAACAAATTACTAAATAGTTTATAGTTTACAAAAGATTAAATTATAAGACATAAGTTTGTATAGTAATTTAGAACTTAAATAGAAATTTATTTACGACATATATAGTTAAACGTGTATAAACGGGTTACACGGGTTGAACCCCTCAAACACGCCACGATTAACTAAATGGGTTACTCGTGTCGACCTGTTTATGACCCGAACCCATTTAAAGTCAACACAAACCCATTTAACTAGTGTCGTATTCGAGTTATGTTGGCGAGTCATGTCAACTTTTGCCACCCCTAATTAAAGGGATGAAAGGACTTTGGCTGTTCCATTCCACCATAATAGACTTGGAAAATGGGCATTTCGTTCTTCTTAAAGTTCTAATGGAATCCACAATTATATTGAACAGCTCTACAATTTGTTTACTTTTTTTTTTATTTTTAATAAATACATTGAAATTATTAATTTACATCAGCATTGTAATATGCCAAATATGTAAAATGATTTACAAAAGCTACTCAACTTATATACTATTAAATATTTAACAAAATTTAGATATGATATCTTCTTAACAATATATATATATATATATATATATATATATATATATATATATTTATGTTGAGTAAAACCTCTCCAAGTGATGCCCCATATTTTTTTTTTATGCATATCCTAACTAAAATTGTTTGATGTGGGTGGGGACTGTGGGAGCAGGGTCCACCCACTCACATAAAAAACATCCACCATCATATTCTAAATAAATTTCACTTTTGATTAATTAAATTAATTTTAAAAAGTAGAATTAAAGACATTTCGAATTATTTGTCCTCTTTGATTTTTATTTTCCGGTCTGAAAGCAATGTAAAATTACTATATATTGTGTAGTGGTGCGGCTGTATGATAACCACAATTTATTTACGTTAATAGTAATATATATTTACAACAATCACAATACAATCCAATCTTTTGTCTTTGATTAAATGGTAATTTCAATTTTTTTTTTTTTTTTAAGTTTAAAATTTATTTACAATAGAAATTTTTTAAGTCCATCATCGTAACTGGATTAACTCTTATTAAGTCAATTCCAATAGATTCATAATTATAACCAAATAATAATATCGCCAATTTGTTGAACACTTATCACTTATTCTACACATATCGTCATTGTATTAGTATCTCTAGTGATAATGAAAACAAAGAACAATAATTCAATAAACCTTACTAGTGAGTAGTGGCCTGTTCTGATTTGGGTTCCCAGAGTAATATTACTACTCAATTCTCTTTGAATCAAAGAAAAAGAGAGATGGAGAAGCAGATTGAACATTTCAGCCATTGGCATTACTTGATCCTCGACCAAAAGAAACGTAAAGAAGGGGATTGAATGACTTGCAATGGGTGCACAAACGTAAAATATTGATATTGTAGGTGTTTTCATGTGTTATGACACTATACTTCAATAAATAATTTCAAAAAAATAAAAAAAATTGTAACAAAAAAACCATAATTGATTGTGCATTTAATTTTGGCTTACGGCAACCTCCCCAACTTAAAACTCATCAGTTCTCTAAATCAAATTTCACGCCATCTTTTCATGTTATTCTTTTACAATAAATTAAATAGAGCATCCGGATAAATTTTTGTCAAGATTTGGTAATGAATGCATTATATTATATTTTATTTGATTTGATTATTATTTTTTAAAAAATACACGTTATTAATATATCAGTTATGTTTTCAAAAGAAAC